TAGGCCGAAACAGGTAAGGTGTCACATAATGGGCTTGCCTTTTGGACTTAATTTTTCATTTTTAACGAGGGTTATCATGGCCCACTTGGAAGTTGCTGCTGACTCCTTGATCCGAAGTCCGTTGATAAAAAAGCCATTTGAATTTGATTATTAATTTTTTTTGGCAACATATTCATTACATTTATTTGAGATTAGTATTTATTATTTGGATTTGTAAAAAAAAAAAGAGTAAAAATATTTAAAATTATATTATGTTAATAAAATATTATAAAAAAATTAAAACAATCTCATTCATGTTTTAAAAACTAAAATATTTTAATATTTTGTAATAAAATTAATTAAAATAAATTTCAGATATTTTTATGTTTAATTTTTTTTATATATACAGTTAATAAGTATTTTTTCATTTTTTTTTCAATATCTTCATCCGTTGGTTTCATCTTTTTATTAGAAAATAACTTTCCACTTTTTTTTAGTACGTACAACTATCTATATATAATACAGATTATAACAATTAAGCATACTTACAAAATATTTATAAAAAAGAAAAAACTCATTATTTACAAAGATAAAACCCAAGCTATGGAGTCTTAATATTTAAATCAACTACCATTTTTCATGCACTTTTGGAATTGGGGATTATAGATTTATAATTTAAGATTTCTTATAAGTCATCTATCTGTCATTAGCACCTGGCCCTTGCGGTCCAGTGGCAATAGTTACCCCGGTGCATTCCTCCCTCCTCCGGACTAGGTTCGAAACCCGCCCCTTGCAAATATGTTAAAAAAAATAAAAAATCTATCTGTCATTAAACCAGATATTTATCAATAATAAATTACATTTTAGTAAATTAATTACATCGGATGGTTATTGTATTTTATTAACAAGCATAATAAGCAAGGAAAGAAAAAGAAAATTATTGAATTGACCGACATCCACACTTCCACATGCCATGATCTGGTTCAACCAAAGAATTTAGGACTAGGAAGAAACAATAAAATAGTGTATTAAAGACTAAATGGGAAGAGTCCTACCTATCGAAGTTTCAGTATTACGTGGCACAAAGTATGAGGATTTGGCACGAAATTTTTTGCAAAAGCATCCTACAACATGATCTGTGTGTCAGTTCGTGAATCTGCTGACCTAACCCATTTTGGCATGCATCTCCCATCTCCTCCTTACACGTCCCCTTCTTTGGTCAC